TATTATGTTCCCCATTTTATAAATGATGAAAATGAGGCTTAAAGAAATTCAGTTGGCTACAACCACACAGCTAGTAAATAGTGAAGCCAATATGCCAGCTCAGGTCTCTCTGATTCAAGCTTAACCACTAAAGTGCTGACACTGCTCTCTCTTGATTCTTCTACCTGCCCTCTTCAATCACAAAGGAGTCCTGGTAGTGTAATGGTTAAGCATTCAGCTGCTAACCCAAAGGGCTTCTAACCAAAGGTTGGAACCACCAGCTGCTCCACAGGAGAAAGATGTGGCAATCTGCTTTCAAATAGATTGTTGTTGTTGTTGTTATGTGCCGTCGAGTCGGCCCCTACTCATAGCGACCCCTCCTTGGGTTTCCGAGGCAGTATCACTACGGAAGTAGGATTGCCCAACCTTCCTTCCGAGGAGTGGCTGGTGGGTTTGAACCGCCAGCCTTCTGGTTAGCAGTCAAGTGCTTTAGCCACTATGCTACCAGAGCTCCCTTCAAATAGATTACATCCTTGGAAACCCGATGAAGCAGTTCTATTCTCTCCTACAGGGTCACTATGACTTGCAATTGACTCAATAGTACTGGGTTGGGTTTGGTTTTTACCACAGCCTCCTTACTAGCTCTTGTTCTACACAACTCCATAAATACTGATATTCACTAAGATTCCTTGAGTGGCTCTCATTCCACTTGTAATACTTCTTTACTCCTCTGAATCCAATTATATGCAAATCACGTAACCCCTACTTTCAAAATATCTCCAAAACCTAATCCCTTCTCACCACTTGAACACTTTCCCCTGATCTTCGTCTCATACAGATGATTACAAAAACCTCTGCAGTCCTTCACTCACTATAGTTTATTGTTTACAATTAGACAAAGTGATCCTTTGAAAGTTTAAGCCAGACCATGTCACTCCTATCTTTAAAAATTCCCCACTGGATTCCCACAGCATTAAGGGTAAAAGCCAGAGTCCTAATGATCACCTAAAAGGCCCTACACAATCTGCTCTCCACTCCCCGCCATTAGTTCTGTGACTCCTCTTCTCCTACTTACTATTCCAACTACCACTGCTCACTTCCATAAGCCAAACTGGCCCTTTTTGCTATTCCTTGAACACTTTTTACATGTCTCACTTCTTCACCTCCTTTAAGTCTTTGCTTAAACATCATCTTCTCAATGAGGCCTTACCTGGTCTTCCTATTTAATATGACGATATCCTTCCTACTGTATTCCCATTTTGCTCTACACACCTTATCACCATTTTACTGTACCCTCCGTGGTGAAATCCCAAAGTTTTACCACAAACATTCAGCTCTCGAGCAAAAGATCCATCTTTTTCAATTGAGTACTAGATATCTCCAAGTGGATATCCCAAAGACACTTAAACCCCCAACTAAACTTATCTTCTCTCCTACACAAAACTGGCTTCTCCTCTTCCCAACCTATAGCTATCACTACCCAAATATTGCAATCATCCTTCATTTCTCCCACATCTCACTCATCTATAAATTCTTACAATTCTACATTCCAAATCTCTTTCAAATATGTGCCCATTCTAACAGCTACTATCTTATTTCAGTTTTTAATATGTTTATTCATTAGAGCAATAGTTTTGATCGCATACTTTGCATCAGGCATTACTTAAATACAGGAAAATAATCATAAGGAAAAGAGAAAGAGTCCTTGCCAACATGGAATTTACCATCTAGTAGGGGAACAAAGCAATCAATGATTACATAAATAGTGTTTAATTGATTTTTTTTTTTAAAGTAGTACAAGATTCTATAAAAACAAATAAAAAAGGACCTGACAATTATGCATGAAGAGGGAGAATAAGGAGGCTTCCCTGGGTAAATAATGTTTGAATGATATCTGAAAGGTAACTTGTAGGTAATTAGACCAAGGTACTGGGGAGGTGGGGGGCTCTGGTGACACAGTAGTTAAAGCATTCGGCTACTAACCGAAAGGTCAGCAGTTCGAGGCCACCAGCCACTCCATGGGAGAAAGATGAGGCAGTCTGCTTCCCAAAACTTTACAGCCTTGGATACCCTATGGGGATAGTTCTACTTTGTCCTAGATGGTTGTCGCTATGAGTTAGAATTGACTTGGTGGCAGTGGGTTTATCGGGGGGGGGAGAGGGATGGCAGAGCACAAAAGGAAACTGTAGCATGTGTGGAAGTAAAAAAAGAGAAATGGTAGTGCACAGTGATTTAAGAAAAGGAATTGTGGAGATAGACTGCTTGGGTTTGACTCACTTAGCTGTGACATCTGGCAAATTACTCAATCAGTTGCTTAATCTCTGCGCTTCAGTTCTCTCATCTTAAAATGGGATAATAGTATTTATCTTATAGGGTTATTATGAGAATTAAATCAGTTAATGTATGCAAATGACTATAACCAGTGCTTGCCACATAGTGAATAATATATTAATGTTAGAAATTAATGAACAGAGCTATTTTGAGGAAATAAAAACTACTGTGGCTGGAGTGTGATAAACTGGGTCAGACAGATTGGCAAATATTATCAAAAGGTTTAAAGTAGAGGAGTAGCTATTATAAGCATCTAACTATTCAAATCTGTCCTCCTCCAGATCCCATCCTCCACACTGCCAGAGCACAAATCAGGCAGGTAATCCCCTCTTCTGCCTACATGATAAAAGCCAAACACCTTACACAGCCTAGACAGGCTACTCCAGTATCACTCCAATCTACCCTTACAGTCACACAGTTCACCTAGTTTCCTTTCCAGACTACCTACAACTACCTACATATATATACTTTATGCTTTGATAATGCAAATGTCTCACTGTTCTCAATACTCTGACACTACTACACTTTTCTCCTTTGGTCTGCAACAGTCTACTTTCTCACTTTTGACTAGAAATCAGGCAGTTTCAGTTCAGAAGACATTTTCATCCACATCCACAGTTCTGTCTCTTCAACTGTGTGCTACAATCACTGCACTTCTATCAAATCTTCAGTGCCAATTCAGATAGAAAATGCATTTATTTCACATCAAATATTGTTCTTAACTATGAGGTCCATGCTAAAACCCAAACTCACTTTATAAAAAATAGAAAGATTTTCTTAAAAAAAGATGAAATCCTAAGTCAACCCGAAAGTCAAGATCACTCCATCAGTGGAACCAACGACTGACTATCCTGAAAGTCAGAATTAAAGGTATGGGTTCTTAACCAGAGGTCCATGAACTCCTCAGAGCTATAAGGTAGCTTTATGAGGCCCCTCAAATTGCATGCAAAATATGTGTACATGCCCTTTTCTGGGGAGAGGGTCCATACCTTTCATCAGAGTTTCAAAGATATCTGTGACCTCCAAAAGGTTAAGAAGTACTCTAGAGAAAAAGCAAAGACAAGCAAACATGATTAAAAGAGTGAGTCCTTTATAGTCTGTGTGGAATGCCTCACAATTCTCTTAGACTCTTAACACCTGAAATCAGGTCTGAGGACATTTGGAAAAAGTGACTTATCCAATCTAATGTTAATTTAATAAGATCTGAAAGTTACAGATTTGATGGTAGGAAGAACTCTATAAACCAACGTATCAGTAATCATGGGAGGAGCTGATGATTTACTCCAGGGGCTTCAGAAACTGGATGAACAAGAAGAAAAATAACAGATTTTCTATTTATATTTCCTTTTATTTCATCCATTCAAAAATCCCTTTTTGTTACTTTATAATATACAAAACAGTACAGTAGTATCTATGTAATTTATATGTAAATTACATACAATGAAGTTGGTGGCTCAGTTTTCTTATCTTGATAGATATAAGAGGCCACTGATTAATTTCAGTACCACTAACTTAACAGTAACTCCAGCATAACACAAAAATAAAAATCCACTAGTACAATTTAGAATCCAAGGGTAAGAACAGATCATCTTTCAGACAAAGGCTAACTGAGGTCAACTTAAAAGTGATTAAAGAAAGAACCTCTCCTTATCCTTACTACTTAAACTTACTGGTATCAAGCTCTTATGATAATCAAGTTCTAAAGGATCAACCTTAAATTTTCGCTGAATCAGCCTACTTTGTTCACGATTCCCAAGATTGTAACTAAAATATGTGATGGGAAAACTGTGAAATCACAAATGGACAATTTATCAATAAAGTGTCTTTTCTTTTCTTCCAGGAAAACTATAATTTAAATGTGAAAAAGCTACCAAAACATGTAACTTCAAATAGCTTCTGAGGTTCGGAGTGTCACCCAGTGGTGATACCAAGAGATGCCAGGTCCATCCACGATACCAATGGCACAGAAATAACCTTAACTTTGGAATTGCTTTCCCAGAGTACTGAACTTCTCTCTCCCGCAGGAGGTAGGAGGTACAGCCTGGAGGGCCAGAAGCCCCTGAGAGAACTCGAGAAACATCTAAACCTGAGGTGCCTGTGCCTTTAGTAACTCTTTACGCTTCCTGAATCCCAAGCCTCTCCCAGGTTTCAAAGTTAGCCCCGGGGGGCGTAAAAATGACTGGAAACATTTTATGAATCACGTTTCGGTCCTAGATAGACAATAATACGCAAAGGTGCAGTCATCTGCAAAAAGGAAAATCTCAACTTTGGTCAACAGACGGCGAGCATCAACCAAAAAGAAAAAAAAGGTGTCCCGTGTCCTGCGTGGGGCGCTGAGGAGGGGACCACTGACGTAATACAGCGACAAGAAACGAAAAGGGAGTCTTACATGTAGAAGGCACTTCCACAACCCAGTGGGGAAAGGGTGACCGACAATACAGTTATGAAGAAAACCAGGGAGTCGAAATAACAAGTAGAGATAACAGTAAAGCCTTGAGGAAGAACGGAAAAGTAAGGAAAGCGTAGGAGGGAAGCAAGCAAGCACAAAAGAAAAACCGGCTAGCTCCGGAAGGAGCCAGAAAACAAAATGCAAATATCTGCAAACAGAACAAGCAGGAGAAGGCACAAGCCGCTGTTCAGAATTCAGTTCCCAGAAAAGTCCAATTCAGCCCTTCTCCCCTTCACGGTACCTTGAGCTTATGAAGCTCCACCGTCTCCGCCGCCATCTTGTTACCCCTCTACTCCACTAGGCCCCCACCCGCTGCCCCTGCCTCCAGGAGCTCCCGCCTAGGCGTAGAGAACCAAGGCTGACCAATGACTGCCACGCTTGCTTCCACCCCGAAACATCAGCCCTTCCCATTAGTCAATACGTGGTGTAGCGCTCACTCTCCTCTGTAACTTTCCCCACCCCTTCCAAAAGGTGGGACAGAGAAAAGGGCGGGTTCTGTGTCTTTCGAACGACAGAAATGGAGACCAATTGTACGTCCCAAACGCGGACCGCCAACCAATGAGGAGCGGCAGCGCTGATTCTGTTCCACCAATAGGGAGAGAACAAATGGGCGGGGGCGACTGCTTCCAAGGGACCACAGGTGTGGAACCTGCGCTGTGCACCGGGAAGGACTAAGCTGTCAGGTAGGTGCTACCGGGAGCGTGGAAAGGGCTTCCTACAGCGAAAAGGTAGAAGTCAGGCAGGTGAAAGGGAGTTAAAAACTGAGAGACGGGTGCTGGAGAGATCCCCGAGGGACTTGACGAGCGAGAGAGAAGCTGGAAGCAGTGTTGGGCGGGTTCGGTAGGATCTAGAGAATATTAGGGAGAGAGGCGAGCAAGAGCAGCTTTCTAATCCAGCAGCAGCTTTAAAGGTATTACGAATTTAAAGGACGGCGTTCATATGACCAGAACCACCGCAGAGTTAGGGCTAGGGCTCCATTCTCGAGGCGTTGAGATATCCAGAGGCACAGGGCGAGTTCTTGCAGCGCCCACGCTTGAGAAAGAATGGGGATGCTACCTGCTTGCTTGCCAGGAGGATAAGACTGACAGACCCAAAAAAATAAGAATTAGAAGTAGCTCCACCCCATCAGCCTTCCTGGTGGTTCCTTTTTGATTCCCATGACCCTCTTCCTGGTTCCTTTTTGATTCCCATGACCCTCTTCCTTTGTTTCCAGTGTTTGCAAATTCTTGATGATCCTTAACATCTTCCATAAAGCCAGATACCCGTTTCCCGTGCTTCTTGAAGCAGGTGCCCTAAACACTTATGAAAATTACCTTATGTCTTTAAAATGGAGAGAAAATCCTGTTTAAAAATTTTCCTGTCTTCCACTTTCCTTTTGTGCTGAATGGGGGTTCTGTCATTACAGGTAGAGTTCAAGGCATTTGGGCTATTTAGGACAAAAGTGGGGGGGACAAGTTCCTGGAAAGTTGAAACTGAGTTGCATTCTTGCCTGATCCTTCACTGTGGTAGGATGAATGTGGGGGTGGCACACAGTGAAGTAAACCCCAACACGCGAGTGATGAATAGCCGGGGCATCTGGTTGGCCTACATCATCTTGGTCGGACTCCTGCATGTGGTTCTACTCAGCATCCCCTTCTTCAGTGTTCCTGTTGTGTGGACCCTGACCAATGTCATCCATAACTTAGTGAGTACTCACCCACACCCCCATACTCATCCCAGGTCTCCTTCAACCAAAAATAAAATTCAATGACCGATTCTTTGGGGATTTATGCCTTCCTTTTGGGATCCTCTAATCCTACCTTAGAATCCTTGGGCTGAAGGATTACCTTCTGCCCTCTCATACTGTCTCTCTCTCCTTTCCAGGCTATGTATGTCTTCCTACATACCGTGAAAGGGACACCCTTCGAGACTCCTGACCAAGGAAAAGCTCGGCTACTGACACACTGGGAGCAGATGGACTATGGACTCCAGTTTACCTCTTCCCGCAAGTTCCTCAGCATCTCCCCTGTTGTACTGTAAGTTTAGAGGTGATAAGGGAGATGCTGGGTTGGAAAGAGCTCCAAGGGCCAGAAAGGAAATCCACAGGGAAATTTTAAAAGACCAGATTACTCATCTAAGACTCCAAAGATGTTCTCCTATGTTGTTAGGTCCTATTGAGTTGGTTCTGACTCATAGAGACCCTTTCTACAGAACGAACATTGTCTAGTCTATACTAGTTCTAAAATTAGGGAGAGCAGTTAAAAAGTTGGAAACTAATCAAACATTCCTTGCTACCGCCTTTGGTGTTAGGGGAATGGAGAAGAGACTAAGATGTCAAGTAAAACCAAATGCTTTTAGACTTCTAAAGAGAAGTGAATGAACAGTGGAAGAAGTGATGAAAATTGACTTTGGGGAATAGAAGCAAATAGGACTTTAACAGTCCTACAAGATGAAACAGCTTCATTTGTCATTTGCCATGTGACATTTAACAAGAAACATGCACACTGACTTATAATCTCCAGGTGAAGGTGCTATCTGATGATCTCCCAACTCCAAAGTAAATGCTGTTGACATAGCTGGAATGTTTTCAGATGTCCTAGGATTACATGCAGTAGAACTGGTCATTTAAAACAGAAATCACTGGAAAGTGATGAAGATGGGTAAGGGAAGGCCAACCTCACTCTCATCCTATTTCTTTTCCCCAGCTACCTCCTGGCCAGCTTCTATACCAAGTATGATGCTTCTCACTTCCTTATCAACACAGCCTCGTTGCTCAGTGTACTACTGCCTAAGTTGCCCCAGTTCCATGGGGTTCGTCTCTTTGGCATCAACAAATACTGAGGCCTGGGGAAGAGATTGGAACAAAGAGCTGTAACATGCTTCTCTTCTCCATACACTCTTCTGTATCTTGAAAGCTGAAGAACTATATACCATTTCTCACACCTCCAGGAAGAAACTGGCAAATGGGGCTCCCTGGGTCTAGCCATGCTAGGGGTAGGTTTCTTTGAATCAGGAAAGGCAGGTGAGGTAAGGACAAAATGCCCTCCCCTCCACAGCAGAAAGCCATGTTTAGGCAGCTTGTTTGGTGATTATCTTTTCCCCTATCTTCCACACCCTCCACCTTCCAGCTATGTTTTGCTGTATATCTTCCTTACAATAAAGATAATTTTTTTCAGATATGGCTACTATTTGATAAGCAGGAAGGGTAGGAGATGTTCTCACAAGTCTGGGGAAGAAAGAATATTTAACTCCCTATATAAAACTTAAGGTGCTCTGGTGGTACCATGGTTAAACCATGGGGCTGTGAACCAGAAGGTCAGCAGTTGGAAGCCACCAGCTGCTCCACAGGAGTAAGATGAGGCAGTCTGCCTGCATAAAGATTTACAGCCTTGGAAACTCTATGGAACAGTTCTACTGTGTCCTGTAAGGTTGCTGTAAGTCGGAATTGACTTGATGACAGTGGGTTTGGGTTATACAAAAGTTCTCTAAACTATTTTTTATCCTCTCTCCCTGAGTCCAGTAGAGGGTGTACTTCACTCTCAGCTAACAGCATGGAAAAGGATTCTAAAGTGAGAAACTGAGTTCCAGCTATATGGACAAATAAGAGGGAAGATACAGGTTGCCAGTTATATATTTATAGAAAGATAATCCCCTGGCTTTAAATAGGTATGTACATACAAATATGAACAAACTTAAAAAAATACAAACCCTTGGATCACAAGGGGGCAGCTGAGAACCCTTATCTTTTCCCTCAAACCAAGGGAGGAAGGCATGAGTCTGTTTTTTAAAATTACGGATTTTGGCTATCCCTGCAGCAACAAGTCTGAAGCTGGGTGATTACCCGTAAGGGTGAAAATCAGGATGAAAGAATTCAAAGTTCCCACTCTGAATTCTGTACCTCCTCTAATTAGGACTACATGCATTCTTGTTCTGCCTTTTAACTGGTATGTGGGGACAGAGGAGGAGGAAGAGGAGGTCTGTCCTGAAATGGGTCAAGAGATAAGACAGATTCATAGTTTAAAAAGGGGGAGAAAAAGAGTCATCTGCTCTGAAAGCAAAAGACAAGACAAAGGCATACAGACCCCAATGAAATACCCAGTTCCCACACCACCATGTATTGTCCAGTCCAAGCCCTAGGTTCTTTGCTCTAGCCACCTCCTATTTCTTTGGTATTGTCAGAAGACAGATTTAGTTCCTGCGTACTGGGGAGAAGGGAGAGTGGTTCAGGGACTTCCTACAAGTAGTCAGTGAACAATTTGAGCTTAAACTTTTCCCTTTTTTAAATATTTAAAAATAAACAAATCAAACTCCAGCCTGTGCTGAACACAGCCCTTTTGACTCCCTGACACTGATTTGAGGAAAAAGGAGAAGGGTTGTCAACGCTGGAAAGGCCTCCTCACTTTCTTCCGCCGCTTCGGTTTGGCTTCTCCCTTGGGTACTGTGTTGTTGGGTTTGGAGGCTGTGGTGGTCCCAGGGCCAGGCTGAGGAGCTGCAAAGAAGTTCCCATTGGACATCTGGCCTGGAGGTACTTGAAATATCCGGCTCAAGAAATCCTGAAGGTCAGCAGGGGGGGTATCTGGAGTGGCTCTGAGACGAAAACAAAAGAAGTAATGAGGCAAGAGCTCTTACTAGCCATACGGTTACCTAAGTTAAAGATACTGAGTTAGTTCCCAAACTTCCTAGAGGATGAGGCATTTGTTAGCGGTTATCAAGTCGGCCCTCAACTCATGGCAACCCATGTGTTACAGAGTAGAACTGTGCCATAGGACTTTCTTGGGTATAATTTTTACAGAAGATCACCAGGACTTTCTTCCACAGAGCCACTAGGTAGGCTGGAACCATTAACCTTTGGATTAGCAGCCAATCACAAATCTCTTACACTACCCAGGCTCCTTGAAGAGGCACTTAGGTGTCCTAAACAGTCTGTCATCTAAAACCATATTCAAACCTCTAATCATGGATAGATTACTGAGGAGAAATACCACCTACCTCTGCCTTCCACTGGTGCCTCGGACCCGAGAACCAAATGAGATGTGATAGGGGACTCTGTGGGTATCTGGGGAAATTAGCACACGCTGGCATCCAGCCCACTCTGCAAACATGAGAAATAATCAAAACATCACAGTTTAGACAACAAGTGGGATCAAGAATTAAAGGTTCATACTTCTAGAGGGCAGAACTATACCTGTGATATCATACACCTTTCCATCCATCAGCGCAAAGTAGGTGATTTTGAGGCCTAACATGCTTGACTCTGCCCAAAAGTCTCCTTCCTTGGCAGGATGCAACTTATTACACTCAGCACAGTATCTGGCATTTTTAGGCTCCCGATCCATTTCAAACCTCCTGCAATCCAACACAAGGGTGATTCTTAATAATAAATTAAGCCCACCTAGCACATGACTGTGGTCTCATCATTGCTGGTAAATGTGGTCAAAACTTAATCTAAAGCTATCTCCATTCAGCTGTTGCATATATCTATATATGCCCTACCCTCAATCTTCTATCTTAAAGTTAAAATATTAATGAAATCTCCAATATCTTACAGCATAGCAAAAGTAGAAATGTCAGGGTCTTTACTCACCGTCTATATCCCACAACTACCAATAATACTCACGGGGAAGGGCTTTGGCTACCCAGTGTCAGATATGAGTGTCCCACCCTGTTTTCTTCCTCCTTCATACCTATGCTTTCCCTGACACTGGCTGCACATCATAGTATTCATTGCCTCCTTGAGGTCATCCTGCAGCTTGGACAGAAACTCGTTCACTGACCGGCTCAGCTCATTCTCTGCCATTCGTTTCCTAAAAGAAAAGTTTCGTAAGTCAGGGGATTGCAGGAGAGACGGGTCAGATCTACTGGTCTCTTAAAGCTCCTGGCCACCTAGAAAGATAGGCAATCTCACTTCTCTCAGCCTCAAAGAGCCTCTATCTACAAGTCCAGGGGCCTCAGCTATTGGGGATTTTTCATTTACCCCACCTGACAATATCCCACTTCCAACTTACATCTCATATTCCTTCCGCCTTTCAGGGTTGCTGACGATGTCCCAGGCTGCCCGCAAAACCTTGAAGGCCTCCTCAGCCTGGGGATGATGATTTTTGTCAGGATGAACCTATTAAGACAGAGATGTCATCACAAATCCATTCCAGCTCTCCCCATGTGGGGTCAAGATAATCTCACATCAAAGGGTTTTACACCAACCTTTAGCAGAGTCAATACAGCTTAATGATTAGTTCCCTCTCTGGCTCTCCAGATAGATCGGGATTCAAGTCCCAGGTATATCAATCAAGTATCTAATATCTAATGATGGTTATGACCTTGAATATTTTAATTTAGGGCTTAGTTTCTCCACTGTTAAATGGAGCGACAGTCTACCATGGATTGTTGTGAGGATTAAATGAGAATGCATGTGAGGTATATAGCCCAGAATTTGGCACTGAGGTGATCCACCACCTCAATTTCCAGGCATTATCCCCGTTTTAGCATTGCAAGAAAGCTCTCAGTCTCAGGCAGAAAGGACAGGTGGTCACCTTACCTGGCAAACACACACCAACCCTTCACATTTCATCAGTCACAAAGTGACTAAAGATGTTACATCCTCAAACTCATTCTTCTGAGAAATTCTCCTATGTACTCAAAACTTCCTGCAATAGTCTACTACTTCTTTCTGTCCCAGAAATGAAAGATTATCATGATGCTCAGAGGCTTTTATCCACTCTTTAGCCTTTTCTCCAAGACAAATCTTCCCTCTCCCTCCATCTGCCTAATGTTCTGATCTCCATGTGCCACAAATACAAAGATAAAACTAGTCTTCTGACTGATATCAAATAGAATGCTGTGAATCTCCCACATTCCCAGGCTAATGGAACAACTTTCTCATGGTTACCTTGGGACCCAGACTAGGAAAGCCAGTGAGGTGTTCTATAAAAAAGTCCATAGACACTTTAGAGCAAGGGAGAACTTTGGAGTGTGAAGACAAGTGTGTTGAGGATGGGAGAATTTGACTACATTTCTCTCCAAGAGAAGTTAGGTTGAAAAATGAGAATATGTGTAATGGTGCTATTCAGCAAGAGAGGATGTCTGCTAAGAAGATACGAGAGTGAGAAAAGATCTATCTTATTCGTAACAAGCAGAGTGTGAGCAGTTGTTCCCCACTTTGAAGAATTTCCCAGGCTATCCAATAAAGGGCATGCATTTTCCACCAAACTAATTTAATTCTTTGGTAAATTTTAGCCCTGATGATTTATCCTATCTTGAATAGTTTAAAGGAGCTCTGGAGGCGTAGTGCCTAAGGCATTTGACTGCTAACCAGAAGGCTGGGCAATCTATTTCCGTAGTGATAGGGCCTCGGAAACCCCAGGAGGGGGTTGCTGTGAGTCGGATCCGACTGGATGGCAGTGCCATTTAAAGGAGACCTTGGAAGTTACAAAAACGACATGGGTGCAGCATCCTCTGACCACCTCCATCTTCACAAGCAGGAGATAAAATCACCATCAGCAGCCCAAGGCTTATTCCTATGAGGCCTGACATGTTACCACCCTCCTACCTTTCTACCAACTCTGACACCAATCGTGCCTAAGGCACTCACTACTTTGCTGGGTTTGATAATTCGTTACAGTGGCCACACACAAAACACAAACAATACTCACGATTATGGGGTTTATTAGGGAAGTAATAGGCTAAATTTTAGGTTCAGGAATGTGCTCAGGACACAATTCTTTGATCAGTTCATTCTCTTTCTGCTATGCCCCCAACCACACCTTTCTGGCCCTTGGCCTCTCAGCCTGGCCTCTGCCTTGCTCCAGCAAGTGTTACAAAGCCCTTATAGCTCTACCTATAGGTACACCTA